CTCCATGCCGGGGTATATGTATGGGGAGGTTGTATAAAGATATGTGGGAGGAGCCAGAAGTGAGAGATCCGCCCAGAGACATCACAAGGGGGATGATCTGATTGGTGATTGGTGCAATACTCAGCCAATAGAAGGAAGGGCAGGAAACAGGAGTGATTTGTGGAGAAAGCTGCAGGTTCCGGGGCCGTCATCTTCATCCTAAACCTCACTTCACTCCCTAGTGTGTCACTGACCAGGAACAAGCATGCAGCAGGAGGTCCGTGTTCCGCCTTCACTGGCTGCATGCTTGTGACTGTTATTTTTGACAGTAGCAATAAAATGACAGCTGAAAAAATGAGGGGTTTATGACAATTAAAAAATGACAGATTTATTGGAAGTTTCCAAATGACAGTTATTTTTATTAAGTTGAAAAAAATGACAGTTTTTTTGACAGTTGAAAATTAGTATTTTTTTGGTCATTTAAAAAATGATAGTTATATTTTCAGTTTAAAAGGAGTTATTTTTTACAGTTGAAAAATGACAGTTATATTTGACAGTGGCAAAAAATGGCAATTGAAAAATTATGGTTTTATTGACAGTTTAAAAATGACAGTTAATATTTGTTGATAAAAAGGAGTTATTTTTTACAGGTGAAAAATGACAGATATTTTGTCAGTTGATAATTATTTTTGACACTTGAAAAATAACAGGCAAAAAATATGAGTTATTTTTGACAATTAAAAATGAGGGTTTTTTTGTCTGTTGAAATATAAGAATTAATTATTTTTTGTCAGTTGAAAATGACAAAAAAAATTTGACATTTGCAAAAAAAATGATAATTGAAAAATTAGGGTTTTTTTGACATTTTAAAAATGACTTTTTTGTCAGTTAAAATTTTATTTTTGAAAACCAACAGTTATATGTGAGAGTAGAACAATTAGTTATTTTTGAAAGTTCAAAAAATGGCAATTGAAAAATGAGGGTTTTTTTGACAGTAGAAAAATTTTTGTAAAAAAGTCAAAAATAATTGTCATTTTTCAACTGACAAAAAATAACTAATTTGTTTAAAATTACAAATAAAACATCATTTTTAGATGTCAAAAAAACTGACAAAAAATAATGCATTTTTCTACTGTCAAAATTAAATGTAATTTTTCAATTGACAAAAAAAAACCTCTTTTTAAATGTGATTTTTTTTTTTTTTTTTTTTACTGTCAAAAATTATCTGCATTTTTTTGCCAGTGTGAAATACTGTCATTTTTCAACTGTCAAATATAACTGACATTTTTTGACTGTTAAAAAAAATAGATGACTTTTTTCAACTGTAAGTAAACCCTAATTTTTACGACAAAAAATAACTGTCATTTTTCAACATTAAAAAAAAACCTCATTTTTCAATTACCATTTTTTTCCACTGTCAAAAATTACCTCTCATTTCTTTTGCTACTGTAAAAAAATTAACTGTCATTTTCAACGGTCGAAAAAAAAAAACCTTTTTTTTAAATGTGATTTTTTTTTTTTCACTGTCAAAAATGATCTGCATTTTACTTCCACTGTAAAAAAAAAATTCCAACTGTCAAATATAACTGTCGTTTATCAACTGTTAAATGTAATGTTTCAACTGTAAAAAAAAAACAACAAAAAAAACATTTTTCAACTGTCATTTTTTCCACTGTCAAAAATTACCTGTCATTTTTTTGCCACTGTAAAAAAAAATTAACTGTCATTATCAATTGTCGAAAAAAACTCCTCATTTTTCGACTGTCATTTTATTGCCACTGACAAAAAAAATATTTTTTTTGCAAAAATAAAAATATAACTGTAATTTTCAACTTTAAAAAATGTTTTTTTTACAACAAGAAATAGCTGTAATTTTTCAACTGTCAAACACACTCATTTTTCAATTGCCATTTTTTTCCACTGTAAAAAATTAACTGTCATTTTCAAATGTCAAATATAACAAATTTTTCAACTGACAATTTTTTTTTTCTTTTAATGACAACAAAAACATTTTTTTTTAACTGTCATTTTAGCCAGTCATTTTTTTTTTTTTACTGACAAAAAAACCCTAATTTTTTCTACTGTCAAAAATAATTTTGTTTTTAACTGACAAAAAAATAACTCTGTAAGAAAAAAATTGTACTTTTTCAACTAAAAAAACTATCATTTTTCAACTGTTAAAAAACCCCTCTTTATTACATGTGATTTTTCTTTCACTGTCAAAAATTATCTGCATTTTATTGCCACTGTAAAAAAAAACTGTCATTTTTCAACTGTTAAAAAACCCTCATTTTTCAAAATTTCAAATATACACTAATTTTTCTGTCAAATATACACTGTCGTTTTTTTCAACTGTTAAATGTCATTTTTTCAACTGTAAAAAAAAAAAAAAAAATTTTTGACAAATAACTGTCATTTTTCAACTGTCAAAAAAAAAAATTGCCATTTTTTCAAAATAAAAAACTGTCATTTTTTAACTGACAAAAAATAACTAACTGTCAATAATAACTGTCATTTTTAAACATCACAAAATCCCCGGATTGTGGGCGTGTCCGGAGCAGTCTGATTGGCTGCATCCCCCCCAGCTCTGCTGTACTCATAGTTCCAGCACACAGCAGTGGGCGGAGCTGACACCCCAGAGGAGAGGCAACAGCCCGGTGACCCTCAGGGAGATGACAAAGAAGAGGAAAGCTGAGAGGAAGCTCCTCCCCTCGGGGGGATCCCAGCCATCCCCAACATGGTGGCAGCAGCAGCTCAGGATCCTCCTCCTCTCACTCAGCACACAGCTTCTCCTGTGACACCTTGTTAAGCAGGTGTCAGCGCTCTCTCCTCCTGCAGCCGGTCTCCTCTGCGTAGAGAATGACAGATATGAGCCCACAGCATGCTGGGACAGATTCTCCCACTAATACTTCCCATTCTGCAAGTCATTCCTCCCATCCAATGGGTAAGTCTCCTCCTACTAGTCCGCCTATTTCTCATCCATTCATGAAGGAGACATCATCCATACCGTCACCTATCATTCACTCTGCAACCAATCAGAGATGAAGGATCTCCGCCACAGAGCTGGGAGACTCCGCCCCTTCCTTTACCACCCTAGTAGACACGCCCACCACCAAAGGGATGAAGAAAGGGATTGGCTGAAACAAAGTGTCAGCTCTGGAGGATAGATCACAGCGTAACAACATCCAATAAGAGGCATTCCAGAATCCATCCAACCCGACCAATCGGGAGCCGATCCCCGAGAGATCTTTCCTGGCCTCCTACCTGAGAGCTACAAACCCAGATGTGACCACGGATGGAATCCATGACCTTCCCAAACCTCCTATGTGACACCTAAATCCCCCCATGTCTCCATGACAACTCATTGTGTTGTCACCTCCAAGAACGAATCCCGCAAATGGCGCCCAAACCCTCCTATGTGACACCTAAATCCCACATGTCCCATGACAACTCATTGTTGTCCATCCAAGACAATCCTGCAAATGGCGCATCCTATGTGACACCTAAATCCCTCCACATCCCATGACAACTCACGTCACCTCCAAGAACGAATCCCGCAAATGGCGCCCAAACCCTCCTATGTGACACCTAAATCCCTCCACATGTCTCCATGACAACTCATTGTTGTCACCTCCAAGAACGAATCCCGCAAAACGAATCCCGCAAATGGCGCCCAAACCCTCCTATGTGACACCTAAATCCCTCCACATGTCTCCATGACAACTCATTGTTGTCACCTCCAAGAACGAATCCCGCAAATGGCGCCCAAACCCTCCTATGTGACACCTAAATCCCTCCACATGTCTCCATGACAACTCATTGTTGTCACCTCCAAGAACGAATCCCGCAAATGGCGCCCAAACCCTCCTATGTGACACCTAAATCCCTCCACATGTCTCCATGACAACTCATTGTTGTCACCTCCAAGAACGAATCCCGCAAATGGCGCCCAAACCTCTCCTATGTGACACCTAAATCCCTCCACATGTCTCCATGACAACTCACTCATTCTTGTCACCTCCAAGAACGAATCCCGCAAATGGCCCCCAAACCCTCCTATGTGACACCTAAATCCCTCCACATGTCTCCATGACAACTCATTGTTGTCACCTCCAAGAACGAATCCCGCAAATGGCGCCCAAACCCTCCTATGTGACACCTAAATCCCTCCACATGTCTCCATGACAACTCATTGTTGTCACCTCCAAGAACGAATCCCGCAAATGGCGCCCAAACCCCAACCTGTGCCTGCGCCATTCTCCTCTTTACAGCTTTTCACAGATTTATCTAAGCGCACCGCGCCACTCGGGACCGATCTCCTCCCGATAACAAACCACAAAATGATTGGACGTTGGGGTCACCCCACTAAATTGATGGTCCCCAGAATGAGTCGATCATCACAATCCACAGCCTAGAGGAAGGGGTGCAATGTCTCGGAGAGTGCGACATTCTCCCACAAAGCCACGCACAACAACATCTCTACCGCCACCAGAGAGTCTCCAGAGTGGAACCTGGTCACTGACCAACGCCAAACATTCACCCTATACCGCCATCTCATGGTCCCGCCCACATGGCATGTCACAGGTGTAAGCCCCGCCCCTGAGGGGTACTACCCAACACAGTACAATGCGGTTTTCATTGCGTTCCGATCGCGGCTGAGATCCTATTTGTTACGGATTTGTTCTCTGTATTTGTTTGTTTGTTTCCTTCTTGTTTCTACTACTACTGTCATTCCTGAGAGTCGGAATGGTTTACCTGACCTGCGCATACAAACGTATTACCGCTTTAGGGGCCCCTTGGTTCGGTTCGGCCCCCATTAATGTCGGCAAATCGATCGATTCAATGGCTATAAAAATTATATCTATTAATGGCGATGGCTTGAATCATCCGGCCAAACGTACACACATGTGGGAACAGGCATTCCAACATACATGTGATATACTCCGTGTTCAAGAGACTTGTTTCCAGTCCGGACACTTTCCCCCCCTCCAGTCCGGACACTTTCCCCCCCTTCCAGTCCAGTCCGGACACTTTCCCCCCTTCCAGTCCGGACACTTTCCCCCCCCTTCCAGTCCGGACACTTTCCCCCCCCAGTCCGGACACTTCCAGTCCGGACACTTTCCCCCCCCCTTCCAGTCCGGACACTTTCCCCCCTTCCAGTCCGGACACTTTCCCCCCCTTCCAGTCCGGACACTTTCCCCCCCTTCCAGTCCGGACACTTTCCCCCCCCTTCCAGTCCGGACACTTCCCCCCCTTCCAGTCCGGACACTTTCCCCCCCTTCCAGTCCGGACACTTTCCCCCCCTTCCAGTCCGGACACTTTCCCCCCCTTCCAGTCCGGACACTTTCACCCCCCCCTTCCAGTCCGGACACTTTCACCCCCTTCCAGTCCGGACACTTTCCCCCCCTTCCAGTCCGGACACTTTCCCCCCTTCCAGTCCACTTTCCCCCCTTTCCCCTTTCCCCCCCCCTTCCAGTCCGGACACTTTCCCCCCCTTCCAGTCCGGACACTTTCCCCCCCTTCCAGTCCGGACACTTTCCCCCCCTTCCAGTCCGGACACTTTCCCCCCCCCTTCCAGTCCGGACACTTTCCCCCCCTTCCAGTCCGGACACTTTCCCCCCCTTCCAGTCCGGACACTTTCACCCCCTTCCAGTCCGGACACTTTCACCCCCCTTCCAGTCCGGACACTTTCCCCCCCTTCCAGTCCGGACACTTTCCCCCCCCTTCCAGTCCGGACACTTTCCCCCCCTTCCAGTCCGGACACTTTCCCCCCCCCCTTCCAGTCCGGACACTTTCCCCCCCTTCCAGTCCGGACACTTTCCCCCCCTTCCAGTCCGGACACTTTCCCCCCCTTCCAGTCCGGACACTTTCACCCCCCTTCCAGTCCGGACACTTTCCCCCCCCCTTCCAGTCCGGACACTTTCCCCCCCTTCCAGTCCGGACACTTTCACCCCCTTCCAGTCCGGACACTTTCCCCCCCCTCCAGTCCGGACACTTTCCCCCCCTTCCAGTCCGGACACTTTCCCCCCTTTCCAGTCCGGACACTTTCCCCCCTTCCAGTCCGGACACTTTCCCCCCCTTCCAGTCCGGACACTTTTTCCCCCCCTTCCAGTCCGGACACTTTCCCCCCCCTTCCAGTCCGGACACTTTCCCCCCCCCCTCCAGTCCGGACACTTTCCCCCCCTTCCAGTCCGGACACTTTCCCCCCCTTCCAGTCCGGACACTTTCCCCCCCCCAGTCCGGACACTTTCCCCCCTTTCCAGTCCGGACACTTTCCCCCCCTTCCAGTCCGGACACTTTCCCCCCCTTCCAGTCCGGACACTTTCCCCCCCCTTCCAGTCCGGACACTTTCCCCCCCCTTCCAGTCCGGACACTTTCCCCCCTTCCAGTCCGGACACTTTCCCCCCCTTCCAGTCCGGACACTTTCCCCCCCTTCCAGTCCGGACACTTTCCCCCCCTTCCAGTCCGGACACTTTCCCCCCCTTCCAGTCCGGACACTTTCCCCCCTTCCAGTCCAGGACACTTTCCCCCCCTTCCAGTCCGGACACTTTCCCTCGTATTACCGCTTTAGGGGCCCCTTGGTTCGGCCCCCATTAATGTCGGCAAATCGATCGATTCAATGGCTATAAAAATGATATCTATTAATGGCGATGGCTTGAATCATCCGGCCAAACGTACACACATGTGGGAACAGGCATTCCAACATACATGTGATATACTCCGTGTTCAGAGACTCGTTCCCTAGATTGGGCCCCTCCTACATGCTGACACAAAACGTTTCCACGTGTCTGTACTGCCAATGCCTCTGAAAAACAAAGAGGAGTCGTCACCGCCATCAGAGACACACCGAACTTTGTTCTTCATACCAATATCTCCGCCCCCGAAGGCCGGCACCTGATACTTCTATGGACTATAGATAATACCGGTGACACCATCATACATTCATATCACCCAATACTCAGCAAACAACATACTATACCCTCATCTTCACACTCCTCTCCAAAAATCGTTCTGCTTCCCTCAGACTATGCCGGGACTTCATCCTCATACAGTTGCAAGAAAAAGTATGTGAACCCCTTGGGATTCCGTGGAGTTTTGCATGATGAATTGGGCATAAAATGTGCTCTGAACGTCATCTAAGTCACAACAATAGAAAGAACACAGTCTGCTGAACATAATACTACACAAACATTAGATGTTGCCATGGTTTAATTGCACATAACATGTAAACATTCACAGTGCAGGGAGGAAAAAGTATGTGAACCTTTGGACTTAATAACTGGTTGACCCTCCTTTGGCAGCAATAACCTCAACCAAACGTTTCCTGTAGTTGCAGATCAGACCTGCACAACGATCTGGAGTCATTTTGGACCACTCCTCTTCACAAAACTGTTTCAGTGTAGCAATATTCTTGGGATGTCTGGTGGTGTGAATCGCTCTCTTAAGGTCATGCCACAGCATTTCAATGGGGTTGAGGTCAGGACTCTGACTGGGCCACTCCAGAAGGCGTATTCTGTGCTGTTGCAGCCATTGTTTTGTTGAATGACTTGTCTGCTTTGGGTCATTGTCCTGTTGCATCGCCCATCCTCCGCGGAGCTGAAAATAGTGACAAAGAAAAAATACAAAGAATTCCCATTTGTTTGGGAGATAAAGAATGAAAGTATCTGGAGATAAAACTGTCACCTCAACTAAGAATCTGTATAAAACCAATTATATTTCACTATTAACCACTTCCAGTCCGGACACTTCCCCCCCCCCCCCCCCCCAGTCCGGACACTTTCCAGTCCCTTCCAGACACTCCCCCCCCCCCCCTTCCAGTCCGGACACTCCAGTCCGGACCTTTCCCCCCCTTCCAGTCCGGACCCAGTCCGGACACTTTTTCCCCCCCAGGGCAATTTTCAGCTTTCAGCGCTATCACACTTTGAATGACAATTGCGCGGTCATGCAACACTGTACCCATATTAATTTTTTACCATTTTTTTGAGACAGATAAAGCTTTATTTTGGTGGTATTTATTCACCGCTGGGATTTGTATTTTTTTTGCTATGTAAATGAAATGTCCAAAAATTTTGAAAAAAAAATTTTTTTTTTAAAAAAATTTGCAAATAAATAATATCTCATCATAAATCTTAGCCACAATTTATTCCGTTATCTTTTTAGTAAAAAAAAAAAAAAATCCAAATTAGTTTAGAAGCAAAAATTATAATTTTTAAACATTTTTTTTTACATTTTTATTTTATTTTTTTTATATTATTTTTTTTTTTTTTTTTTTTTTTTTTTTTTTTACATACTGTCACCCTAGCAGTGTGGGGTCACCATGGTGACACTGTACTACTTGTGGGGGGTGATGAAAATTTTTTTTTTTTTTTTTTTTTTTTTACTCTGATTGCTTTTACTCCCATATAGGGTGTAAAAGCAATCATTTCTCTTTCTCTCTGGCTGCATTCTTGCACTCATTGAGAAGTACTGAGTGAGCTGTGATTGGTCACAGCTTGTCACATGGTACAAGGAATGGCCCTCTTGTGAATGGCCCTGTACCATGTGACCTCTGTGATCATTCACAGATTTCACACTTAGTAAGCAGTGATGTCAGAAGTGACATCTTGCTTACTACTTTGCATGTGATCACTGATTGGCCAATCAGTGATCACATGATCGGACCTCGTACTCGTACAGAGGACCCGTCCGATCGATGGTGTTTCACTGTGTCCGGAGGACAGAGTGGGCCCCGGATCGTGGTGCTGCTGCGCGGTCCGGGGAGCGCGCACAAGCAGGGTGCGGGGAGGCCGTTTATAAACGTCCACCCGTCCCTGCACTGCCACCGTCCAGCCGTTTATATACAACAGCCGGACAGGAAGGGGTTAAATGAGGTTAAGGAGGAGCTGAAGAGAGTGGGAGGTGCAAACCCGTCCTGGATGGGGCATAAACCTCATAAAAATGGTAATCGTGCCCAAAGTATTATATAGATTTCAAATGATTCCAATCAAACTTCCAGAGGCGTATATTAAAGAACTGATAAAAATGATAATAAGATATATATGGAGGAATACAAAGCCTAGAATACGCCATGAAACGCTGACTAGAAGTAAAGAAAGAGGGGGAGGGGGTACCAGACTGCAGGAGATATTATAAAGCGGTGAGAATTGTGAGAATTTGTGACGGGACTCATAATCCAGAGAAACGGGTCAAAATGGAGAATCCACGGAGTGGAAGACATGTGAGTAGGATTGTATGAGTGCCTGCAGAATATCGGGGACTAGAGGACAGCACAAGTATGTAGACACTTCATGTATTATGTGGGGGAAATGTTACACAGACAGAGGGGGGGCTTTTCAATTCACAGGTAATGCCACTAAGGAACACAGAATATTTTATTCCTGGGCAGGAAAACATCGCAGGAAATGGATCATAAAACAAGAGGCACAATTGAGGGATATAATGGTGGGGGAGGAATTGGGATCGTATAGAGAAATGGAGAAAAAAAAAGGGAGAAGTCTTCAATAAGATGGATAGATTACGATATCACCAATGTTTCTGAGAGTCTCCCAAAGCCCATGAGAACTAGAAAAGAGTGGAATCCATTGGAGAGATGGAGACACGGGGTGATGGAGACACGGGGTGATGGGAGACACGGGGTGATGGAGACACGGGGTGATGGGAGACACGGGGTGATGGAGGACACGGGGTGATGGGATGGGTGATGACACGGGGTGATGGGAGACACGGGGTGATGGATGGGAGACACGGGGTGATGGGAGACACGGGGTGATGGGGGACACGGGGTGATGGGAGACACGGGGTGATGATGGAGACACGGGGTGATGGGAGACACGGGGGAGACACGGGGTGATGGGAGACACGGGGTGATGGGGGACACGGGGTGATGGGAGACACGGGGTGATGGGAGACACGGGGTGATGGGAGACACGGGGTGATGGGGACACGGGGTGATGGGGGACACGGGGTGATGGGAGACACGGGGTGATGGGGAGACACGGGGTGATGGGGACACGGGGTGATGGGGGACACGGGGTGACACGGGGATGGGAGACACGGGGTGATGGGAGACACGGGGTGATGGGAGACACGGGGTGATGGGAGACACGGGGTGATGGGGACACGGGGTGATGGGGACACGGGGTGATGGAGACA